AGTGAGTGGTGAGTGAGTGGTGAGTGAGTGGTGAGTGAGTGGTGAGTGGTGAGTGAGTGAGTGAGTGGTGAGTGAGTGGGTGGTGAGTGAGTGAGTGAGTGGTGAGTGAGTGGGTGGTGAGTGAGTGGTGAGTGAGTGAGTGGTGAGTGAGTGAGTGGTGAGTGGTGAGTGAGTGGTGAGTGAGTGGTGAGTGAGTGAGTGGTGAGTGAGTGGTGAGTGAGTGGTGAGTGGTGAGTGAGTGGTGAGTGAGTGAGTGGTGAGTGAGTGGTGAGTGAGTGGTGAGTGAGTGAGTGGTGAGTGAGTGGTGAGTGAGTGGTGAGTGAGTGAGTGGTGAGTGGTGAGTGAGTGAGTGGTGAGTGAGTGGTGAGTGACCTCACCACGACCACGTGTGTGTGTGTCCCGTGAGTGCTCCAGCACGTTGGTGAGTGAGTGGTGAGTGGTGAGTGAGTGAGTGAGTGGTGAGTGAGTGGTGAGTGAGTGGTGAGTGAGTGGTGAGTGAGTGGTGAGTGAGTGGTGAGTGGTGAGTGAGTGGTGAGTGAGTGGTGAGTGAGTGGTGAGTGGTGAGTGAGTGGTGAGTGAGTGGTGAGTGAGTGGTGAGTGGTGAGTGAGTGAGTGAGTGGTGAGTGAGTGGTGAGTGAGTGGTGAGTGAGTGAGTGAGTGGTGAGTGAGTGGTGAGTGAGTGGTGAGTGGTGAGTGAGTGGTGAGTGGTGAGTGAGTGGTGAGTGGTGAGTGAGTGGTGAGTGAGTGGTGAGTGAGTGAGTGGTGAGTGAGTGAGTGGTGAGTGAGTGAGTGGTGAGTGGTGAGTGGTGAGTGGTGAGTGAGTGGTGAGTGGTGAGTGAGTGAGTGGTGAGTGAGTGAGTGGTGAGTGAGTGGTGAGTGGTGAGTGAGTGGTGAGTGAGTGGTGAGTGAGTGGTGAGTGAGTGGTGAGTGAGTGGTGAGTGACCTCACCACGACCACGTGTGTGTGTGTCCCGTGAGTGCTCCAGCACGTTGGTGAGTGAGTGGTGAGTGGTGAGTGAGTGGTGAGTGAGTGGTGAGTGAGTGAGTGGTGAGTGAGTGGTGAGTGAGTGAGTGGTGAGTGAGTGGTGAGTGAGTGGTGAGTGAGTGGTGAGTGGTGAGTGAGTGAGTGGTGAGTGAGTGGTGAGTGAGTGGTGAGTGAGTGGTGAGTGGTGAGTGAGTGGTGAGTGAGTGGTGAGTGAGTGGTGAGTGAGTGGTGAGTGGTGAGTGAGTGGTGAGTGAGTGGTGAGTGACCTCACCACGACCACGTGTGTGTGTGTCCCGTGAGTGCTCCAGCACGTTGGTGAGTGAGTGGTGAGTGAGTGGTGAGTGAGTGGTGAGTGGTGAGTGAGTGAGTGGTGAGTGAGTGGTGAGTGAGTGGTGAGTGACCTCACCACGACCACGTGTCTGTGTGTCCCGTGACTGCTCCAGCACGTTGGTGAGTGAGTGGTGAGTGGTGAGTGAGTGGTGAGTGGTGAGTGAGTGGTGAGTGAGTGGTGAGTGGTGAGTGAGTGGTGAGTGAGTGGTGAGTGACCTCACCACGACCACGTGTCTGTGTGTCCCGTGATTGCTCCAGCACGTTGGTGAGTGAGTGGTGAGTGGTGAGTGAGTGGTGAGTGGTGAGTGAGTGGTGAGTGAGTGGTGAGTGACCTCACCACGACCACGTGTCTGTGTGTCCCGTGAGTGCTCCAGCACGTTGGTGAGTGAGTGGTGAGTGAGTGGTGAGTGAGTGGTGAGTGGTGAGTGAGTGGTGAGTGAGTGAGTGAGTGGTGAGTGAGTGGTGAGTGAGTGGTGAGTGAGTGGTGAGTGAGTGGTGAGTGACCTCACCACGACCACTGTCTGTGTGTCCCGTGAGTGCTCCAGCACGTTGGTGAGTGAGTGGTGAGTGAGTGGTGAGTGGTGAGTGAGTGGTGAGTGACCTCACCACGACCACGTGTCTGTGTGTCCCGTGATTGCTCCAGCACGTTGGTGAGTGAGTGGTGAGTGAGTGGTGAGTGGTGAGTGAGTGGTGAGTGAGTGGTGAGTGAGTGGTGAGTGAGTGGTGAGTGAGTGGTGAGTGGTGAGTGAGTGAGTGAGTGGTGAGTGAGTGGTGTGTGGTGAGTGAGTGGTGAGTGAGTGGTGAGTGACCTCACCACGACCACGTGTGTGTGTGTCCCGTGAGTGCTCCAACACGTTGGTGAGTGAGTGGTGAGTGGTGAGTGAGTGGTGAGTGAGTGGTGAGTGAGTGAGTGAGTGGTGAGTGAGTGGTGAGTGAGTGGTGAGTGGTGAGTGAGTGGTGAGTGAGTGAGTGAGTGGTGAGTGAGTGGTGAGTGAGTGGTGTGTGGTGAGTGAGTGGTGAGTGAGTGGTGAGTGAGTGGTGAGTGAGTGGTGAGTGACCTCACCACGACCACGTGTCTGTGTGTCCCGTGATTGCTCCAGCACGTTGGTGAGTGAGTGGTGAGTGGTGAGTGAGTGGTGAGTGAGTGGTGAGTGAGTGGTGAGTGAGTGGTGAGTGGTGAGTGAGTGGTGAGTGGTGAGTGAGTGGTGAGTGAGTGGTGAGTGAGTGGTGAGTGACCTCACCACGACCACGTGTCTGTGTGTCCCGTGAGTGCTCCAGCACGTTGGTGAGTGAGTGGTGAGTGGTGGGTGAGTGGTGAGTGAGTGGTGAGTGAGTGGTGAGTGAGTGGTGAGTGAGTGGTGAGTGGTGAGTGAGTGAGTGAGTGGTGAGTGAGTGGTGAGTGAGTGGTGAGTGAGTGGTGAGTGAGTGGTGAGTGAGTGGTGAGTGACCTCACCACGACCACGTGTGTGTGTGTCCCGTGAGTGCTCCAACACGTTGGTGAGTGAGTGGTGAGTGGTGAGTGAGTGGTGAGTGAGTGGTGAGTGAGTGAGTGAGTGGTGAGTGAGTGGTGAGTGAGTGGTGAGTGGTGAGTGAGTGGTGAGTGAGTGGTGAGTGAGTGAGTGGTGAGTGAGTGAGTGGTGAGTGAGTGAGTGGTGAGTGGTGAGTGGTGAGTGGTGAGTGAGTGGTGAGTGGTGAGTGAGTGAGTGGTGAGTGAGTGAGTGGTGAGTGAGTGGTGAGTGGTGAGTGAGTGGTGAGTGAGTGGTGAGTGAGTGGTGAGTGAGTGGTGAGTGAGTGGTGAGTGACCTCACCACGACCACGTGTGTGTGTGTCCCGTGAGTGCTCCAGCACGTTGGTGAGTGAGTGGTGAGTGGTGAGTGAGTGGTGAGTGAGTGGTGAGTGAGTGAGTGGTGAGTGAGTGGTGAGTGAGTGAGTGGTGAGTGAGTGGTGAGTGAGTGGTGAGTGAGTGGTGAGTGGTGAGTGAGTGAGTGGTGAGTGAGTGGTGAGTGAGTGGTGAGTGAGTGGTGAGTGGTGAGTGAGTGGTGAGTGAGTGGTGAGTGAGTGGTGAGTGAGTGGTGAGTGGTGAGTGAGTGGTGAGTGAGTGGTGAGTGACCTCACCACGACCACGTGTCTGTGTGTCCCGTGAGTGCTCCAGCACGTTGGTGAGTGAGTGGTGAGTGAGTGGTGAGTGAGTGGTGAGTGGTGAGTGAGTGGTGAGTGAGTGGTGAGTGACCTCACCACGACCACGTGTGTGTGTGTCCCGTGAGTGCTCCAGCACGTTGGTGAGTGAGTGGTGAGTGGTGAGTGAGTGGTGAGTGGTGAGTGAGTGGTGAGTGAGTGGTGAGTGAGTGGTGAGTGACCTCACCACGACCACGTGTCTGTGTGTCCCGTGACTGCTCCAGCACGTTGGTGAGTGAGTGGTGAGTGGTGAGTGAGTGGTGAGTGGTGAGTGAGTGGTGAGTGAGTGGTGAGTGGTGAGTGAGTGGTGAGTGAGTGGTGAGTGACCTCACCACGACCACGTGTCTGTGTGTCCCGTGATTGCTCCAGCACGTTGGTGAGTGAGTGGTGAGTGGTGAGTGAGTGGTGAGTGGTGAGTGAGTGGTGAGTGAGTGGTGAGTGAGTGGTGAGTGACCTCACCACGACCACGTGTCTGTGTGTCCCGTGAGTGCTCCAGCACGTTGGTGAGTGAGTGGTGAGTGAGTGGTGAGTGAGTGGTGAGTGGTGAGTGAGTGGTGAGTGAGTGAGTGAGTGGTGAGTGAGTGGTGAGTGAGTGGTGAGTGAGTGGTGAGTGAGTGGTGAGTGACCTCACCACGACCACTGTCTGTGTGTCCCGTGAGTGCTCCAGCACGTTGGTGAGTGAGTGGTGAGTGAGTGGTGAGTGGTGAGTGAGTGGTGAGTGACCTCACCACGACCACGTGTCTGTGTGTCCCGTGATTGCTCCAGCACGTTGGTGAGTGAGTGGTGAGTGAGTGGTGAGTGGTGAGTGAGTGGTGAGTGAGTGGTGAGTGAGTGGTGAGTGAGTGGTGAGTGAGTGGTGAGTGGTGAGTGAGTGAGTGAGTGGTGAGTGAGTGGTGTGTGGTGAGTGAGTGGTGAGTGAGTGGTGAGTGACCTCACCACGACCACGTGTGTGTGTGTCCCGTGAGTGCTCCAACACGTTGGTGAGTGAGTGGTGAGTGGTGAGTGAGTGGTGAGTGAGTGGTGAGTGAGTGAGTGAGTGGTGAGTGAGTGGTGAGTGAGTGGTGAGTGGTGAGTGAGTGGTGAGTGAGTGAGTGAGTGGTGAGTGAGTGGTGAGTGAGTGGTGTGTGGTGAGTGAGTGGTGAGTGAGTGGTGAGTGAGTGGTGAGTGAGTGGTGAGTGACCTCACCACGACCACGTGTCTGTGTGTCCCGTGATTGCTCCAGCACGTTGGTGAGTGAGTGGTGAGTGGTGAGTGAGTGGTGAGTGAGTGGTGAGTGAGTGGTGAGTGAGTGGTGAGTGGTGAGTGAGTGGTGAGTGGTGAGTGAGTGGTGAGTGAGTGGTGAGTGAGTGGTGAGTGACCTCACCACGACCACGTGTCTGTGTGTCCCGTGAGTGCTCCAGCACGTTGGTGAGTGAGTGGTGAGTGGTGGGTGAGTGGTGAGTGAGTGGTGAGTGAGTGGTGAGTGAGTGGTGAGTGAGTGGTGAGTGGTGAGTGAGTGAGTGAGTGGTGAGTGAGTGGTGAGTGAGTGGTGAGTGAGTGGTGAGTGAGTGGTGAGTGAGTGGTGAGTGACCTCACCACGACCACGTGTGTGTGTGTCCCGTGAGTGCTCCAGCACGTTGGTGAGTGAGTGGTGAGTGGTGGGTGAGTGGTGAGTGAGTGGTGAGTGAGTGGTGAGTGAGTGGTGAGTGAGTGGTGAGTGGTGAGTGAGTGAGTGAGTGGTGAGTGAGTGGTGAGTGAGTGGTGAGTGAGTGGTGAGTGAGTGGTGAGTGAGTGGTGAGTGACCTCACCACGACCACGTGTGTGTGTGTCCCGTGAGTGCTCCAACACGTTGGTGAGTGAGTGGTGAGTGGTGAGTGAGTGGTGAGTGAGTGGTGAGTGAGTGAGTGAGTGGTGAGTGAGTGGTGAGTGAGTGGTGAGTGGTGAGTGAGTGGTGAGTGAGTGAGTGAGTGGTGAGTGAGTGGTGAGTGAGTGGTGTGTGGTGAGTGAGTGGTGAGTGAGTGGTGAGTGAGTGGTGAGTGAGTGGTGAGTGACCTCACCACGACCACGTGTCTGTGTGTCCCGTGATTGCTCCAGCACGTTGGTGAGTGAGTGGTGAGTGGTGAGTGAGTGGTGAGTGAGTGGTGAGTGAGTGGTGAGTGAGTGGTGAGTGAGTGGTGAGTGAGTGGTGAGTGACCTCACCACGACCACGTGTGTGTGTGTCCCGTGATTGCTCCAACACGTTGGTGAGTGAGTGGTGAGTGAGTGAGTGGTGAGTGGTGAGTGAGTGGTGAGTGAGTGGTGAGTGAGTGGTGAGTGAGTGGTGAGTGAGTGGTGAGTGACCTCACCACGACCACGTGTGTGTGTGTCCCGTGATTGCTCCAACACGTTGGTGAGTGAGTGGTGAGTGAGTGAGTGGTGAGTGGTGAGTGAGTGGTGAGTGAGTGGTGAGTGAGTGGTGAGTGAGTGGTGAGTGAGTGGTGAGTGACCTCACCACGACCACGTGTGTGTGTGTCCCGTGATTGCTCCAACACGTTGGTGAGTGAGTGGTGAGTGAGTGAGTGGTGAGTGGTGAGTGAGTGGTGAGTGAGTGGTGAGTGAGTGGTGAGTGAGTGGTGAGTGAGTGGTGAGTGACCTCACCACGACCACGTGTGTGTGTGTCCCGTGATTGCTCCAACACGTTGGTGAGTGAGTGGTGAGTGAGTGGTGAGTGAGTGAGTGGTGAGTGGTGAGTGAGTGGTGAGTGAGTGGTGAGTGAGTGGTGAGTGAGTGAGTGGTGAGTGAGTGGTGAGTGACCTCACCACGACCACGTGTGTGTGTGTCCCGTGAGTGCTCCAACACGTTGGTGAGTGCCGCGAATCTTCCTCCCCTCGTGACCCCCAGCCAGGAACCTCCCTCCCTGCCCTCCTGCAGGTCCACGCCTGGCCCACACACACAGACAAAGCTCCCCCAGGTAGCCTCTAGCAGGGCTGTAGGGGCAAGTGCTGCTAGTAGCGAGTAGCACCACCTATGATGTACACACAGACAAAGCTCCCCCAGGTAGCCTTTAGCAGGGCTGTAGGGGCAAGTGCTGCTAGTGGCGAGTAGCACCACCTATGATGCACACACATACAAAGCTCCCCCAGGTAGCCTCTAGCAGGGCTGCAGGGGCAAGTGCTGCTAGTGGCGAGTAGCACCACCTATGATGTACACACACAGACAAAGCTCCCCCAGGTAGCCTTTAGCAGGGCTGTAGGGGCAAGTGCTGCTAGCGACCACCACCTATGAAGGCTACCGGCACTGTGGCACACACAGAGGGGGTGGGTGGCCAACACCACCACCACCACCACGCCTGACCGTCTTTGTCTCTCCCCAGTGACGATGTTCACTACACTACACCGCTACACCAGGTACGGTGGTGGTGGTGGTTGTAGTGGTGGTTGTGGTGGTAGTTGTGGTAGTGGTGGTGGTTGTGGTGGTGGTAGTAGTGGTGGTTGTAGTGGTGGTTGTGGTGGTGGTTGTGGTGGTGGTTGTAGTGGTGGTTGGAATGGTGGTGGTGGTTATGGTAGTGGTTGTAGTGGTGGTTGTGGTGGTTGTGGTGGTGGTTGTGGTGGTAGTAGTGGTGGTTGTAGTGGTGGTTGTGGTGGTAGTTGTGGTAGTGGTGGTGGTTGTGGTGGTGGTTGTGGTTGTAGTGGTGGTTGGAATGGTGGTGGTTATGGTAGTGGTTGTAGTGGTGGTTGTGGTAGTGGTTGTGGTGGTGGTGGTGGTTGTTGTGGTGGCAAAACAACCCCCTACCTCCTCACGGTGCCGGACGGGCAACTCTGTCGTGGACAGTACTGTGGGGGGAGATCCAATTTTGATTGGCTCCTCCCCTCATGGCATATGTGTCCACCACAGGGGCTAAACGGGGGCTCTGGACGGGTGCGAGGGGCTGGTAACCCCTCCACCTTCAATTAATTACCACGAAACCACGAATTAAGTATATAACTAATAAGCTTGTGCCAGAGGCCCCGGGGGGCCAGGCGTCAATGACGTTTCCTGGCCAAACCCCAATTGGCGGAGCCAGGAGATTGAATACCTACCCTCGGGGCTACTCCAGAAACAACGAAAAGCCACTACGGGTGGCCACGTAGAATGTTCGAATGCTCACTGCGGAGGAGAGGCTGCCACTCCTCTGTCGGGAGCTGGACTGGTACCGCCTGGATCTATGTGGCATTCAGGAGGTCCGGTCAACCGGCTTCAATGCCCGAGTTGGTCATGATACTGGCACCTGGTCTGGAGTGATTGGAGGGCATGGGCCAGATCAGCTCAATAACAACGGTAGGAGGCTGCTAGATTTTTGTGCAGCCCATGGGCTTGTAATTACCAACACGCTGTTCCGGCATCGGCGCATCCACACAACATCATGGATGCATGCCGGGTCCAAGCAAGAACATCTGCTGGATTACATAGTGATGGACCAGCGGATGCGAGCCCATGTCCTTGACACCAGGACCTACCGTGGAGCTGATCTGCCCTCTGACCATCGACTTGTCATCTGTAAGATGCGCCTGCCATTCTTCCACTCCGGTGGTGGGTGTACACCCAGGACCCCATTCCGACCTAAAGTGGTCTGTTCTCAGTTATCTGATGAAAGTTGCAAGCGAGAATTTCATCATCGCTTGCGGCTGGGATTGGCATCGTCCCCGACTCCTCCTGATGTCGAGGGTAAATGGGCGAGGTTTAGGACTGTGACTCATGCAGCTGCAATGGCTGCTTTGGGTACGCGGTCCAGACCTCCCCAGAGACCCTGGCTGACAGAGGAGGTGTTCAGGATGGTTGAGAAAAAGCGACAGGCCCACTGTCATCGGCTACAGAATCCCACGTCAGAGAATGAGGAGGCTTACCGCAGCCTTCGCTTGGAGGTTCGGAGAGCCGTGAGGCGCTGCAAGGATGGGTGATGGTCGCGGGTTGCTGAGGAGATGGAGTCTGCCTCAGTGGCCCGTGATCACAAATCTCTATTTAACTCCATCAAAAAAGTAATCTGCAGCGCCACACCTATTACCATCATTAGGGGAAAAAACGGTGATCCAATCTCCGACCCCCAGGAACAGGTTTGCAGATTTGCTGAGCATTTCTGTGAGGTCCTGGGGGAGGGAAAATCCCTCAGCCAGGAAAACATCGTGGCACAAAGTGAGGATGACCCTGCTGAGGCTGCGGTGCCTCAAATATTGGAAGAAGTCACCCCCTGTGAGTGGCTGGCTGAGGTGCCATCTGCTGAGGAAGTATTGAAGGCGATCCGGAGTCTGAGACCAGGAAAGGCAGCGGGCAGAGATGATCTCCCAAGCGAAATGCTGAGGGAGGGTGGCGTTTGTGCACAGACTGCCCTATATGACATCATAAGAACAGTCTGGACGGGTTCCGCAGGATTGGAAGGATGCCCTGGTGGTCCCCCTCTTTAAGAAGGGGGACCGCACAGACTGTAACAACTACAGGGGCATCTCACTCCTCAGTGTGCCGGGAAAGGTCCTGGCAAGGATTATTCAGCATCGCCTTGCCAGGCACGCTGAGGAGAGGCTTGCGGAGCCCCAATGCGGTTTCAGGAAAGGGCGGTCCTGCACAGATGCCATATTTTCTGTCCGTCTGCTACAGCAGAGGTGTAGGGAATTCCAACAAGACCTACATCTCTGCTTTATTGACCTGGTCAAGGCCTATGATACCATCAGTAGGCCTGGGCTCTGGGTCATTCTTCGTGCTTTTGGAGTACCTGACCCTCTGCTCACGATCATTAAGGACCTTCATGATGGTGAGCGGGCCCGGGTAAAACTACGTGGCCGGGAGTCAGAGCCATTCCCTGTACACCTTGGGGTGCGACAGGGATGTCCTCTGGCTCCCACATTATTTAACATCTATTTTGACCACGTAGTTCGTGAAGCCTTCAATAGCTGTACCGGGGGAATCTCCATATGGTACAGATATAATGGGAGGCTAATCGATGCCCGGGTGCGGTCAAGGGATGACTCCCTATTGCTCAACCATGTTATGTATGCTGATGATTTGGTAATAGCTGCTCAGTCAGAGGAGGAGTTGGAGACGCTGCTGCTGAGACTGGAGCGTGCCACTAAGAGGTGGGGCCTTACCATCAGCCCCACCAAAACTAAGCACCTGCCTGGGTATTTTGTACCATCGGACACTCCACCCCCACAACTCCCAATCGGTGATGGGGCAGTTGTGGAGAGAGTGGAGAGTTTCCCATACCTGGTAAGTGTGCTTATGACTGGCTCCAGGTTAACAGCAGAGGTCTCACTCCGAATCAGTCGAGCGGCAATATATTTTCATCGGTTGCGTAACGCTGTGTGGAAGCTACCTGGTCTGTCGCTCCGCACTAAGCTTCAGGTCTTCTCGGCCACGGTCATTCCCTCCCTTCTCTACGCTTGTGAAACGTGGACCCCCCTAATGGAACATCTTCGCCGGTTAGAAACATTTAGGCTGGCCTGCTTACGATCCATCCTGTGTTTAACCAGAATGGATTGTGTGAGGAGCTCACAAATCCTTGAAAGATCTGGGCAGTGTCCCATCGGTGAGCTCCTCCGGCAGGCAAGGCTGCGATGGCTGGGTCATGTAGCCCGTATGCCCAGCCACCGCATGCCGAAACAGCTTTTGTTTGGCCGGATTGAGGGGGCTAAGCGGGCGCGGCACGGGCTAGAGAAAAGAGGGAGTGATGTGGTACAGGAGGACGTGGAGCTGAGTGGACTTGCCGATGACCGGTACCAGCGGTGTCAAGATCGGCCTCTGTGGAGGAGGCTCGTGAAGGATGCTACTGGGCAGTTGGAGGCAGTCGCCCTCCAACAAAAACGGAGGACGGAGGAGCGACGCTCAGAACAACGAGCGGAGTGCCGGGTGGCTAAAGCACAGCAGGTTGGCACAGTAGGGGGCACAGGTGGTGCATCAGCCAGTCATCTCAGTCAGTCGACCCGTGGCACCTGGGTCTGCCCCGTGACCTCCTGCCAGCGGGCGTTCGACACTTCACGTGGCCTCAGGGTGCACATAGCCTGGCACAAGCGTCGTGGTGACGGCACCGCCACTTAGTGGCGAATGGCGGTTGTTGTTGTTGTTGTGGTAGTTGTGGTGGTGGTGTTGTGGTTGTTGTGGTGGTTGTTGTGGTGGTGGTTGTTGTGGTGGTTGTGGTTGTTGTGGTGATCGTTGTGGTGGTTGTTGTGGTTGTGGTGTTGTGGTGGTTGTGGTGGTGGTTGTGGTGGTTGTGGTGGTGGTTGTGGTGGTAGTTGTTGTGGTGGTTGTGGTGGTTGTGGTTGTTGTGGTTGTGGTGGTTGTGGTGGTTGTGGTGGTAGTTGTTGTGGTGGTTGTTGTGGTTGTGGTGGTGGTTGTTGTGGTTGTGGTGGTTGTGGTGGTAGTTGTTGTGGTGGTTGTGGTGGTTGTTGTGGTTGTGGTGGTGGTTGTGGTGGTTGTGGTGGTAGTTGTTGTGGTGGTTGTGGTTGTTGTGGTGGTGGTGGTTGTGGTGGTGGTTGTGGTGGTTGTAGTTGTTGTGGTGGTTGTGGTTGTTGTGGTGGTGGTGGTGGTTGTGGTGGTGGTTGTGGTGGTTGTTGTTGTTGTGGTGGTTGTGGTGGTTGTGGTTGTTGTGGTTGTTGTGGTGGTTGTGGTTGTTGTGGTGGTGGTTGTGGTGGTGGTTGTGGTGGTGGTTGTGGTGGTAGTGGTGGTAGTGGTGGTTGTTGTTGTGGTGGTGGTTGTTGTTGTGGTGGTTGTTGTGGTTGTTGTGGTGGTTGTGCTGGTTGTGGTGGTTGTGGTGGTTGTTGTGGTGGTTGTTGTGGTGGTTGTGGTGGTTGTGGTTGTTGTGGTGGTTGTTGTGGTGGTTGTGGTGGTTGTGGTTGTGGTGGTTGTGGTTGTGGTGGTTGTGGTGGTTGTTGTGGTTGTTGTTGTGGTGGTTGTGGTGGTGGTTGTGGTGGTTGTGGTGATTGTGGTGGTTGTGGTGGTTGTTGTGGTTGTTGTGGTGGTTGTAGTGGTGGTGGTTGTGGTAGTGGTGGTTGTTGTTGCTGTGGTGGTGGTTGTGGTGGTTGTGGTGGTTGTTGTGGTAGTTGTAGTTGTGGTGGTTGTGGTGGTTGTGGTTATTGTGGTGGTGGTTGTGGTACTTGTTGTGGTGGTTGTTGTGGTGGTTGTGGTAGTTGTTGTGGTGGTTGTGGTGGTTGTGGTTGTGGTGGTTGTGGTGGTTGTTGTTGTTGTGGTGGTCGTGGTGGTGGTTGTGGTGGTTGTGGTGGTTGTGGTGGTCGTGGTGGTGGTTGTGGTGGTGGTTGTGGTTGTTGTGGTTGTTGTGGTTGTGGTGGTTGTGGTGGTGGTTGTGGTGGTTGTTGTGGTTGTTGTTGTGGTGGTTGTGGTGGTTGTGGTGGTAGTGGTAGTTGTAGTAGCGGTTGTGGTAGTGGCGGTTGTGGTGGTTGTTGTGGTTGTTGTTGTGGTGGTGGTTGTGGTGGTGGTTGTGGTGGTGGTTGTTGTTGTGGTGGTTGTGGTGGTTGTGGTGGTTGTGGTTGTTGTGGTTGTTGTGGTGGTTGTGGTGGTTGTGGTGGTAGTTGTTGTGGTTGTCGTGGTGGTTGTGGTGGTTGTGGTGGTAGTTGTTGTGGTTGTTGTGGTTGTTGTGGTGGTGGTTGTGGTGGTTGTGGTTGTTGTTGTGGTTGTGGTTGTTGTGGTGGTTGTGGTGGTAGTTGTTGTGGTTGTGGTGGTTGTGGTTGTGGTGGTTGTGGTGGTAGTTGTTGTGGTTGTTGTTGTGGTTGTTATGGTTGTTGTGGTGGTTGTTGTGGTGGTTGTGGTGGTTGTGGTGGTTGTGGTTGTGGTGGTTGTGGTGGTTGTGGTGCTTGTGGTGGTTGTGGTGGTTGTGGTTGTTGTTGTGGTGGTTGTGGTTGTTGTGGTTGTGGTGGTTGTGGTTGTTGTGGTTGTGGTGGTTGTGGTTGTTGTGGTTGTGGTGGTTGTGGTGGTTGTGGTTGTTGTGGTTGTGGTGGTTGTGGTGGTTGTGGTGGTTGTGGTTGTGGTGGTTGTTGTTGTGGTGGTTGTGGTTGTTGTGGTTGTTGTGGTTGTGGTGGTTGTTGTTGTGGTTGTGGTGGTTGTTGTGGTTGTTGTTGTGGTTTTGGTGGTTGTGGTGGTTGTGGTGGTAGTTGTTGTGGTTGTGGTTGTTGTTGTGGTTGTTGTTGTGGTGGTTGTGGTTGTTGTTGTGGTGGTTGTTGTGGTTGTTGTGGTTGTGGTTGTGGTGGTTGTTGTGGTTGTTGTGGTTGTGGTTGTTGTGGTTGTTGTTGGTTGTTGTGGTTGTTGTGGTTACCGCTTATCACGTGTGGGTGGCTGGGCCAGAACTGAGCGGCGAGTGATGGGCGTGAGAAGAACTCATCACGGTTCGCAGCCACCATCAGCCTGGGGGTCGCACGGGGTCACACGGGGGCGGGGTCACACGGGGTCACACGGGGGGGTCACACGGGGGGGTCACACGGGGTCACACGGGGGGGTCACACGGGGGGGTCACACGGGGGGGTCACACGGGGTCACACGGGGGCGGGGTCACACGGGGAGGTCACACGGGGGGGTCACACGGGGGGGTCACACGGGGGCGGGGTCACACTCACTCACCTACACACTCACCCTTACACTGACTCACTGTTACACTGACTCACCTGCACACTCACTCACCCTTATACTCACCCTTACACTAACTCACCTGCACACTCACCCTTACACTCACCCTTACACTCACTCACCCTTACACTCACTCACCCTTACACTGACTCACCTGCACACTCACTCACCCTTACACTCACTCACCTGCACACTCACCCTTACACTCACTCACCCTTACACTCACTCACCTGCACACTCACCCTTACACTCACTCACCTGCACACTCACTCACCTGCACACTCACCCTTACACTCACTCACCTGCACACTCACTCACGCTTACACTCACTCACCTGCACACTCACCCTTACCCTCACTCACCCTTACACTCACTCACCCTTACACTGACTCACCTGCACACTCACCCTTACACTCACCCTTACACTCACTCACCTGCACACTCACTCACCTGCACACTCACCCTTACACTCACTCACCCTTACACTAACTCACCTGCACACTCACTCACCTGCACACTCACTCACCTGCACACTCACTCACCTGCACACTCACCCTTACACTCACTCACCCTTACCCTCACTCACCCTTACACTCACTCACCCTTACACTCACTCACCTGTTCACTCACTCACCAGTACACTCACTCACTCACCAGTACACTCGCCAGTACACTCACTCAACCGTTCACTCATTTACCAGTACACTCACCTGTTCACTCACTGACCAGTACACTCACCTGTACACTCACCTGTACACTCACTCACCTGTACACTCACCTGTACACTCACCTGTACACTCACTCACCAGTACACTCACTCACCTGTACACTCACCAGTACACTCACTCACCTGTACACTCACTCACCTGTACACTCACTCACCTGTACACTCACTCACCTTACACTCACCAGTACACTCACTCACCTGTACACTCACTCACCCGTTCACTCACTCACTCACTCACCAGTACACTCACCAGTACACTCACTCAACCGTTCACTCATTTACCAGTACACTCACCTGTTCACTCACTGACCAGTACACTCACCTGTACATTCACCTGTACACTCACTCACCTGTACACTCACCTGTACACTCACCTGTACACTCACTCACCTGTACACTCACCTGTACACTCACTCACCTGTACACTCACTCACCTGTACACTCACTCACCTTACACTCACCAGTACACTCACCAGTACACTCACTCACCTGTACACTCACTCACCCGTTCACTCACTCACTCACTCACCAGTACACTCACCAGTACACTCACTCAACCGTTCACTCATTTACCAGTACACTCACCTGTTCACTCACTGACCAGTACACTCACCTGTACACTCACCTGTACACTCACTCACCTGTACACTCACCTTACACTCACCAGTACACTCACCAGTACACTCACCTGTAAGCTCCCTTGGTCGTGGGCCGTGGGTCAAACTTGAGGAAGAGGATGCACATCGGGGAGCAGATTCACATCCTGGGGAGGGAGAAGGCGTCACGTGGGTGGGCTGCTGTGCCAGGCTAGGTGCACGAGGTCACGGGACAGAGCCACAAGGCATGGGTTGACTGCTGCAGCAGTGCACTCACCTGGTCACTCACTCACCTGTACACTCACTCACTGACTCACCTGTACACTCACACACCTGTACACTCACTCACCTGTACACTCACTCACCTGTACACTCACTCACTGACTCACCTGGTCACTCACTCACTGACTCACCTGGTCACTCACTCACCTGTACACTCACTCACTGACTCACCTGTACACTCATTCAGCTGTACACTCACTCACTGACTCACCTGTACACTCACTCACCTGGTCACTCACTCACCTGTACACTCACTCACTGACTCACCTGTACACTCACTCACCTGTACACTCACTCACCTGTACACTCACTCACCTGTACACTCACTCACTGACTCACCTGTACACTCACTCACTGACTCACCTGTACACTCATTCACCTGTACACTCACTCACTGACTCACCTGTACACTCACTCACCTGGTCACTCACTCACCTGTACACTCACTCACTGACTCACCTGTACACTCACTCACCTTGTCACTCACTCACCTGTACACTCAATTACTCACTCACTCACCTGTACACTCACTCACCTGTACACTCACTCACTGACTCACCTGTACACTCACTCACCTGTACACTCACTCACCTGTACACTCACTCACCCTTACACTCACTCACCTGTACACTCACTCACCTGTACACTCACTCACCTGTACACTCACTCACCTGTACACTCACCCGGACACTCACCCGTACACTGACTCACCTGTACACTCACTCACTCACCTGTACACTACTCACTCACCTGTACACTCACTCACTCACCTGTACACTCACTCACCTGGTCACTCACTCACCTGTACACTCACTCACTCACCCGGACACTCACCCGTACACTGACTCACCTGTACACTCACTCACCTGTACACTAACTCACTCACCTGTACACTCACTCACTCACCTGGTCACTCACTCACCCGTACACTGACTCACATGTACACTCACTCACCTGTACACTCACTCACTCACCTGTACACTCACTCACCTGTACACTCACTCACCTGTACACTCACTGACTCACCTGTACACTCACTCACTCACCTGGTCACTCACTCACCCGGACACTCACCCATACACTGACTCACCTGTACACTCACTCACTCACCTGTACACTCACTCACTCACCTGTACACTCACTCACTCACCTGTACACTCACTCACTCACTCACCTGTACACTCACTCGTACACTCACTCACCTGTACACTCACTCACCTGTACACTCACTCACTCACCTGTACACTCACTCACCCGTACACTGACTCACCTGTACACTCACTCACTCACCTGTACACTCACTGACTCACCTGTACACTCACTCACCTGTACACTCACTCACCTGTACACTCACTCACCTGTACGCTCACTCACCTGTACACTCACTCACTCACCTGTACACTCATTCACTCACCTGTACACTCACTCACCCGTACACTCACTCACCTGTACGCTCACTCACCTGTACGCTCACTCACCTGTACACTCACTCACCTGTACACTCACTCACTCACCTGTACACTCACTCACCTGTACACTCACTCACCTGTACACTCACTCACTCACCTGTACACTCACCAACACGCTCACCACTACACCACCTCTCCCCACGACCATCACCGCCTGTGGTTGTACCCTGCTGCACTGTACCCGCCTGCACTGTACCCTGATGTACTGTAAACAACACTGTACCCGACTGCACTGTACCCTGATGTACTGTAAACAACACTGTACCCGCATGCACTGTACCCTAATGTACTGCAAACAACACTGTACTCGACTGCACTGTACCCTGATGCACTGTAAACACCACTGTACCCGACTGCACTGTCCCCTGATGCACTGTTAGCAACACTGTACCCGACTGCACTGTAAACACTGTACCCGCCTGCACTGTACACCGCCCACACTGGACCACTCGGCACTGTTCGTCGGCGCACTGTACACCACTGTATAGCAGAACTGTACACCACTGCACTACTTTGCAGTACTCTACCGGCAGACAGAGACACACAGAGGCAGACACAGAGAGACACAGACACACACAGAGAGACACAGAGACAGAGACACACAGAGAGAGACACAGACACACACAGAGAGACACAGACACACACAGAGAGACACAGACACACACAGAGACACAGACACACACAGAGACACAGACACACACAGAGAAACACACACACAGAGAGACACAGACACACACAGAGACAGAGGCACAGAGAGACACAGAGAGACACACAGAGAGACACACACAGAGACAGAGAGACACACACAGAGACAGACACACACAGAGACACAGAGACAGACACACACAGAGACACAGAGACACACACAGAGACACAGACACACACAGAGAGACACAGACACACAGAGAGACACACAGACACACAGAGAGACAGACACACACAGAGAGACACAGAGAGACACAGAGACACACAGAGAGACACACAGAGAGACACAGACACACAGAGAGACACAGAGACACAGAGAGAGACACAGAGACACAGAGAGACACACAGAGAGAAACAGAAACACAGACAGAGACACACAGAGAGAGACAGACACACACAAACAGAGACACACAGAGAGAGACACACAGAGAGAGACAGACACACACAGACAGAGACACACAGACACACAGAGAGACACACAGAGAGAGACAGACACACACAGACAGACACACACAGAGAGAGACACAGAGAGACAGACACACACAGACACACACAGACAGAGACACACACAGAGACAGACACACACAGAGACACAGAGACAGGCACACACAGAGACACACACAGAGACACACACAGAGACACAGACACACACAGAGAGACACACACAGACAGAGACACACAGAGAGAGACACACAGAGAGAGAGAGAGACACACACAGAGAGAGACACACACAGAGACACACAGAGAGAGACAGACACACACAGACAGACACACACAGACAGAGACACACAGAGAGAGACACACAGAGAGAGCCAGACACACACAGACAGACACACACAGACAGAGACACACAGAGAGAGACACACAGAGAGAGACAGACACACACAGACAGACACACACAGACAGACACACACAGACAGAGATACACACAGAGAGACACACACAGACAGAGACACACAGACAGAGACAGACACAGACACACAGAGAGACACACAGAGAGACACACAGACAGAGACACACACAGAGAGACACACACAGAGAGACACACAGAGAGAGACACACAGACAGAGACACACACACAGAGAGACACAGAGAGACACACACAGACAGACACACACAGACAGAGAGACACACACAGAGACAGACACACAGAGAGACACAGACACACACAGACAGACACACAGACACACACAGACAGAGACACACAGACACACAGAGAGACACAGAGACACACACAGACACAGACAGACACACAGAGAGACGCACACAGACAGAGAGACACACAGACACACAGAGACAGACACAGAAAGTGTCCGGTCGGAAAAGGAAAACAAAACTCCAGTAACCGGTTCGGGCATTAACCGCCCCCAGAAACCGGTTCTAACCGCTATGCGTGACACTGCCATTGATTGTTACAGAACAGTTATAGCAGTAAATGATGACATTAATATATCTCGTCGTCGTGATGCTTACGATGACAATGATGACTATTAATTATAATAAATTATAATAATAATTATACTCCGACAATGATGATGGTAAATCGACTTACGCTGCTCTGTAAGTCTAGAGAAGGTCGCGGGGCCGCTTTCGTCCAATCAGCGATCGTCTTACATTCACTCCCACCCCGACCATTCCTCGCTGCCAGCCAATCAGCGGGCGGGTTACACAAGAAGGGGCGTGGCTCGGGGTTTGGGGGAGGGTTGATGGGGGAGGGTTGATGGGGGAGGGTTGATGGGGGAGGGGAGGGTTGATGGGGGAGGGGAGGGGCCTCAGGGGTAGTAGAGGGGTGGGGCTAGGGGAGGCGGAAGCCAATAGTGGGCGTGACTGGGTGGAGGCGGGACTAAGGGCGGAAGTGGGCGTGGTCAGAAGGCGAACAGGGCGGGACTAAGGGCGCAAGTGGGCGTGGTCAGAAGGCGAACAGGGCGGAAGTGGGCGTACTCTTTGGTTTTTCCGGTAAAGTCACGTAGGTAAAAATTTAAAATAAATTAAATCACGACGTTTCGGGCGCAACACAAGCGTCCTTCTTCAGGTGGGGACAACTTAGCGAAAGCACACCGCCTAAGTGTGTGTACGTGACTTTACCGAAAAAAACAAAGAGTTATGAATCCTTGCAGTCACGATAACTTCAAATCTAGAAGAAGTGGGCGTGGCTGAGAGTTGAGTCAGTGGGGGGCGGGGGCTGCTGGTGGAACCGGACAGGGCGTGGTTTCGAACGGAAGTGGGCGTGGCTGAGATTCGAGTCAGGGGGGCGGGGCGGGGCTGGTGGTGGAATCAGAGGGGCGGGGCTGAGGGGGGGGTCACGCCCAAACCCTCGGGTGGAGGGGAGGGGGGGCGAGCAAGAAGACCACGTGACTTTGCGCCCCGCCCCGCCCCCTGAATTCCGTAGCGCGGATAAGGCGGTTGAACTTTTCAAAAAAGGCGCGCGCCCATTGGCCGCCGCCGTCGTCACGTGACGGTCGGCGGCCTCCTCCCCCACGTCCCCCCCTCCACACCTCCCGACCCCCCCACCTATGCGCGCTAGGGAATTCGAAGCCCGTGGGCGGCTTTAATTATTTATTTATCCTTCCCCTCTCCAGGTGAGGGGAGGAGAGGCGCTGGCTGTGGCTGCTGCTGCTGCTGAGGGCCATCTGGTCACTGCTGAGGGCCTCCTCCTGCCACTATTCCCTGCCACTATTCCCTGCTACTACTACTGAGGGCCTCCCTTCTACTGCAGACCACCACCAACCACAACTACCACCACCACCAACCACAACTACCACCACCACCAACCACAACTACCACCACCAACCACAACCACCACCATCCAGCCAACCACCAACCACCACCAGCGCACAGCCGTTAGCAGCAGCAGCAGCTTGAAACTCGATTTAAACTAAACTCGGACCCATCCACACCCACACACACCCACCCAGACACCACCACCCACACACACATCCACCCACCCACAAAGACAGAGATCCCCCGTATAGCCTTAACACACACCCACACACATCCACCCACCCACACACACATCCACCCACACACACATCCACCCACCCACCCACACATCCACCCACCCACACACACATCCACCCACCACCCCGTGTCCCACCCCTCCGCTCTCGACAAAGGGCGATCGGCCACAGGGAGGGAGCTTCTTCTCCTGCCTCGTGAGCTGTAGCAGCGAAGAAGGTGAGCGAGGTGAGGCCGCGGTGAGGTGTGTGGTGAGGTGTGTGGTGAGGTGTGTGGTTTGGAGGGTGAGTCAGGTGGGGTGAGTGAGGTGTGGTGAGTGAGGTGTGCTGAGTGAGGTGTGGTGAGTGAGGTGTGGTGAGGTGTTGGTTGGATGGTGGTGAGTGAGGTGTGTGGTGAGGTGTGTTGTGGAGGGTGGTGAGTGTGGTGAGGTGAGGTGTGGTGAGGTGTGTGGTGAGGTGTGGTTTGGAGGGTGAGTCAGGTGGGGTGAGTGAGGTGTGTGGTGAGGTGTGTGGTTTGGAGGGTGGTGAGTGAGGTGTGGTGAGTGAGGTGTAGGGTGTTTAGAGGGTAAGGGTGAGGTGAGTGAGGTGAGTGTACCTGGGTGCATGCGTGCTTGGGGGTGAGCAGCGAGGTGAGTGTGTACGTTAAACTTCTTTCGCACCGTACGTAGCCAACCACGCTCATCGGAGTTGCGGGAAGTTGGGCAGGCGGGTGGGGTGGGGTCGTTGGTGAGAGAGTTGGTGAGAGCGTTGGTGAGTGAGTTGGTGAGTTGGTGAGTGAGTTGGTGAGTGAGTTGGTGAGTGAGTCGGTGAGTGAGTCGGTGAGTGAGTCGGTGAGTAAGTTGGTGAGAGGGTTGGTGAGAGCGTTGGTGAGGGAGTTGGTGAGTGAGTTGGTGAGTGAGTCGGTGAGTGAGTCGGTGAGTGAGTTGGTGAGTAAGTTGGTGAGAGGGTTGGTGAGAGCGTTGGTGAGTGAGTTGGTGAGTGAGTTGGTGAGAGAGTTGGTGAGAGAGTTGTTGAGTTGGTGAGTGAGTTGGTGAGAGAGTTGGTGAGTGAGTTGGTGAGTGAGTTGGTGAGAGAGTTGGTGAGTGAGTCGGTGAGAGAGTTGGTGAGTGAGTCGGTGAGAGAGTTGGTGAGTGAGTCGGTGAGTGAGTCGGTGAGTGAGTTGGTGAGTAAGTCGGTGAGAGGGTTGGTGGGTGAGTTGGTGAGAGAGTTGGTGAGTTGGTGAGTGAGTCGGTGAGTTGGTGAGTGAGTTGGTGAGTGAGTTGGTGAGTCGGTGAGTGAGTCGGTGAGAGTTGGTGAGAGCGTTGGTGAGTGAGTTGGTGAGGGAGTTGGTGAGTGAGTTGGTGAGAGAGTTGGTGAGAGTTGGTGAGTGAGTCGGTGAGTGAGTCGGTGAGTGAGTTGGTGAGGAAGTTGGTGAGAGGGTTGGTGAGAGAGTTGGTGAGTGAGTTGGTGAGAGAGTTGGTGAGAGAGTTGGTGAGTGAGTTGGTGAGTTGGTGAGTGAGTCGGTGAGAGAGTCGGTGAGTGAGTTGGTGAGTGAGTTGGTGAGTGAGTTGGTGAGAGAGTTGGTGAGTTGGTGAGAGGGTTGGTGAGAGGGTTGGTGAGAGTGTTGGTGAGAGAGTTGGTGAGTGAGTTGGTGAGTCGGTGAGTGAGTCGGTGAGTGAGTTGGAGAGTGAGTTGGAGAGTGAGTTGGTGAGAGAGTTGGTGAGAGAGTTGGTGGGTGAGTTGGTTGGTGAGTGAGCTGGTTGGTGAGTGTGAGTGAGCTGGTTGGTGTGAGTGTGAGTGAGCTGGTTGGTGAGTGTGAGTGAGCTGGTGAATGTGAGTGAGCTGGTTGGTGAGTGTGAGTGAGCTGGTGAATGTGAGTGAGCTGGTTGGTGAGTGCGAGTGAGCTGGTTGGTGAGTGTGAGTGAGCTGGCTGGTGAGTGTGAGTGAGCTGGTGAGTGTGAGTGAGCTGGTGAGTGTGAGTGAGCTGGTGAGTGTGAGTGAGCTGGTGAGTGATGATGCCGAGTGGCGAGCCCGATGGGCGCGGTGGGGTGGGGGTTGGGGGTCGTGGCCGGGCCGGCTCGGGGCGGTGGCACTAGGCAAGACCGTGGTCTGAGCCACCTGTGTAGGCCTGAATTGAACTTGTGCGGTGGAGGTGAGCGGCTAACCGCTAATAATCCTCAACTTTATTATTCATCTTCTGTCGTCCACAGTTGCCTCTTTGTGCGAGTCGAATCGTTTGAAAGGCGTTTCTGATTAATATTTGTGAGAGAGGGAAAGTGAGAGATGTTGGGTGGCGCTACGCTATTGCATGCGGAAATGGGGGGTGGGGTCGTGGTGGTAAGTAGGTGATGGTGGTGGTGGTGAGTAGGTGATGGTGGTGGTGGTGAGTAGGTGATGGTGGTGGTGGTGAGTAGGTGATGGTGGTGGTGGTGAGTAGGTGATGGTTAGTGGTGGTGGTGGTGAGTAGGTGATGGTTACTGGTGGTGGTGAGTAGGTGATGGTTTGTGGTGGTGGTGAGTAGGTGATGGTTTGTGGTGGTGGTGAGTAGGTGATGGTTAGTGGTGGTGGTGAGTAGGTGATGGTTAGTGGTGGTGGTGAGTAGGTTATGGTTAGTAGTGGTGGTGAGGTGGTGGTGAGTAGGTGGTGGTTACTTGTGGTGGTGAGTAGGTGATGGTTAGTGGTGGTGAGTAGGTGATGGTTACTGGTGGTGGTGAGTAGGTGATGGTTTGTGGTGGTGGTGAGTAGGTGGTGGTGGTGGTGAGTAGGTGATGGTTAGTGGTGGTGGTGAGGAGGTGATGGTTACTGGTGGTGGTGAGTAGGTGATGGTTACTGGTGGTGGTGAGTAGGTGATGGTTACTGGTGGTGGTGAGTAGGTGATGGTTACTGGTGGTGGTGAGTAGGTGATGGTTACTGGTGGTGAGTAGGTGATGGTTACTGGTGGTGGTGAGTAGGTGATGGTTACTGGTGGTGGTGAGTAGGTGATGGTTAGTGGTGGTCTCTGAGGGTCTCTATGGGTCTCTGTGGGTCTCTGTGGGTCTCTATGGGTATGGATCTCTGTGGGTCTCTATGGGTCTCTATGGATCTCATTGGGTCTCTGAGTCTCTGGGTCTGTATGAGTATTGGTCTCTGTGGGTATGTACGAGTCTGTATCAGTGTGGATCTCTGTGGGTCTGTCTGTAATTTCCTTGTGATGATTGTGATGAGGATATCAGCCACGTGCTTTGCCTGCCACCGTTTGTCGATGTGCAGAGCAAAGAGCTACAACAGGCGCTCGGTGGTGACCTTACCCCTGGTGACTGCGAAATAACAACCTCGTGAATTAAATAGTTGAGCGTTTTACGTCGGTTACCACTGGCTAGCGACACACTTGCCCCGCTCCGGCCTGTAAAAGGCTTTATGGGGGATCTTTGTCTCCGTATGGGCAGTTGTAAGGCCATTAACGTGCCGTTCCCTCAGAGGTGTGTGGGTGTGTGAGTGTGGGTTAGTAGCTAGCTCAGGTGTGAGTGTACAGGTGAGTAGCTAGCTCAGGTGTGAGTGTACAGGTGAGTAGCTAGCTCAGGTGTGAGTGTACAGGTGAGTAGCTATCTCAGGAGTGAGTGTACAGGTGAGTAGCTATCTCAGGTGTGAGTGAGTGTACAGGTGAGTAGCTATCTCAGGAGTGAGTGTACAGGTGAGTAGCTAGCTCAGGTGTGAGTGTACAGGTGAGTAGCTAGCTCAGGTGTGAGTGTACAGGTGAGTAGCTATCTCAGGAGTGAGTGTACAGGTGAGTAGCTAGCTCAGGTGTGAGTGTACAGGTGAGTAGCTATCTCAGGAGTGAGTGTACAGGTGAGTAGCTATCTCAGGAGTGAGTGTACAGGTGAGTAGCTATCTCAGGAGTGAGTGTACAGGTGAGTAGCTATCTCAGAAGTGAGTGTACAGGTGAGTAGCTATCTCAGAAGTGAGTGAGTGTACAGGTGAGTAGCTATCTCAGGAGTGAGTGTACAGGTGAGTAGCTATCTCAGGAGTGAGTGTACAGGTGAGTAGCTATCTCAGGTGTGAGTGTACAGGTGAGTAGCTATCTCAGGAGTGAGTGTACAGGTGAGTAGCTATCTCAGGTGTGAGTGAGTGTACAGGTGAGTAGCTAGCTCAGGTGTGAGTGTACAGGTGAGTAGCTATCTCAGGAGTGAGTGTACAGGTGAGTAGCTATCTCAGGAGTGAGTGTACAGGTGAGTAGCTATCTCAGGAGTGAGTGTACAGGTGAGTAGCTATCTCAGAAGTGAGTGTACAGGTGAGTAGCTATCTCAGAAGTGAGTGAGTGTACAGGTGAGTAGCTATCTCAGGAGTGAGTGTACAGGTGAGTAGCTATCTCAGGAGTGAGTGTACAGGTGAGTAGCTATCTCAGGTGTGAGTGTACAGGTGAGTAGCTATCTCAGGAGTGAGTGTACAGGTGAGTAGCTATCTCAGGAGTGAGTGTACAGGTGAGTAGCTATCTCAGGAGTGAGTGTACAGGTGAGTAGCTATCTCAGGTGTGAGTGAGTCTACAGGTGAGTAGCTATCTCAGGTGTGAGTGAGTCTACAGGTGAGTAGCTATCTCAGGAGTGAGTGTACAAGTGAGTAGCTAGCTCAGGTGTGAGTGAGTGTACAGGTGAGTAGCTATATCAGGAGTGAGTGTACAGGTGAGTAGCTATCTCAGGAGTGAGTGTACAGGTGAGTAGCTAGCTCAGGTGTGAGTGTACAGGTGAGTAGCTATCTCAGGAGTGAGTGTACAGGTGAGTAGCTATCTCAGGAGTGAGTGTACAGGTGAGTAGCTAGCTCAGGAGTGAGTGTACAGGTGAGTAGCTATCTCAGGTGTGAGTGTACAGGTGAGTAGCTATCTCAGGAGTGAGTGAGTGTACAGGTGAGTAGCTATCTCAGGAGTGAGTGTACAGGTGAGTAGCTATCTCAGGTGTGAGTGTACAGGTGAGTAGCTAGCTCAGATGTGAGTGAGTGTACAGGTGAGTAGCTATCTCAGGTGTGAGTGTACAGGCGAGTAGCTATCTCAGGAGTGAGTGTACAGGTGAGTAGCTATCTCGTGAGTGAGTGTACAGGTGAGTAGCTATCTCAGGTGTGAGTGTACAGGTGAGTAGCTATCTCAGGTGTAAGTGTACAGGTGAGTGAGTGTACAGGTGAGTAGCTAGCTCAGGTGTGAGTATGCAGGTGAGTAGCTATCTCAGGAGTGAGTGTACAGGTGAGTAGCTATCTCAGGAGTGAGTGAGTGTACAG